GGGGGGGGTACCAATGGAGACCAGTGGGTGTGGAAGCTGAGAAAGTTAAACTGGCGCAAACACTTTGTATTCATGAATTCAAACCTCGATTAATGTCTTCGCCCATTCTCCTTAGGGCCTTTACCACCACTTCCGCGGAAACTTTCTACTCCTTGGCCCCTCCCTCCCGCCCACCAACCGCCCCAGCTAATTTTCAAGTGCAAGTAAGACTGAGTAATTGTGTTAATCTCCGCGATATTTTTGACTATTCGTCGAGAGCAGTTGATTTTTAAGATTGTAAGGGAGTATTCAATTGGTTTTGCAATTGAAAACATGAATAATCATTCGTAATAGAGGAGATTCGTCATATTAATTCATTTATAATGACTCCATTGACGATTTAAAAAGTAGAATTTCGCGAACAAAAAAAAAGATGATCCCAGGTAATGATTTATTGGAGTTTATTGCAATCTTCGACCGCGGGTTGAACCGCGTCTCCCTCGCAAATCGCGGAGTGCCCCGGGTACATGTAGCTGTGGGCATATTTCATCAACAAAATAATTCAGTCGTGCAAGCTGGTGGTGTATGCGGTCAGCCGTATATAGAAAGTCTCTACCCCGCGGGAGTGGGTGGACAATTATTATTTAACTTCGTACGGCTTCGGGGCCTGAGGTCACTCTGGCAATCCTCCAAGTGGACTTTTCCGGCATTTCGACGCTCATTTTTGGGGATGATTTATGCTTGTTACTATCACTGGGTGTAGCCATCACCCTTCGTTGACTTGTTTACGGTATTAATGGCCGTTATTAAGTGTAATGAAGCTCTAGGAGAGGATTGAGAAGGGTCTCATTAGAGAGCAAACAAAATTCCATTGAATTCCATTCATCCAAGATAACAGGCTCGAAGGAGTCCGAGTTGAGAGTCAATAAGTAAAGTACAGTGAATATAAATCGTCACACGACTCGTCAACCCATTGTCTTATTTCTCAATTAGTTTAACTATTCGTCAAGTTCGTCCAACTTTGTAATTGAGTCATTCTCACGCCGTCAGGACTATTTATCCAGCGAGATTAAATTCTTCGTTAATGAGTGAATTTCAACAATTTTCATTTCCCAAACTAAAAACCGCAATTATTCCCCGGAAACTTGTAACAAAGGGGGCACAACCTCCACGAAAAGCCACAAAAAACTCGATTAATTACGGCTGTTCACATGACTACGGTTAAAAAAAAAGACGACTAAGAACAACATTGGATGCGGCTGAAGTGTAAACACCTCGGTATGTAAATATCAGAAATTCACACATGAGCTACGGAATGTGTGCACTCACATAATAATCCCGGGATGAGAAAAAAATTGTGAAAACCGTAATTTTCACATTTTTTTCTCTCTTCCAGTTTTCCGGAGATTTCATATGAAATGAAAAAATTCTCACTCACCGGAATTCCCCGGCGCTTTTAAACCGTAACGATGCATTTCTCCGGGGGGCACTGGTGAAGATTTTCAAAGGGTGGTATGTACACACGTCATTCCGCTCAAAGATTGAAAGAAACGTACTTCAGACAGCACTACATCAACGAATACAAATGAGATGAAAAGTACGGTGAATTTAATGACGCGAGAAATTATATTTTTCTCACTATCTTTCGATGTCGGAGAATGGGGGACACGTGCGCCATTGAATAGAGCGAGAATTCACTTTAAAAAATTTTAATTTTGATTTTTTTCAGTTTTCTGTAATTGTGGGTCATTTTCTGTTCAAATATTTATTTTTAAATAGTTTTTCTTGCGCTGTGTGAAATTTTCTAAAAGTAACATTTCGACTGAAATTTCACGGAATTCTGTTATTTAAAATTTGTAAATTCACGAGAACTAAATTTCAATTTAATTCCGGGAAAATTGATGAAGAATCAGGAAAATTCGGAGAAATCTCTCCTGGAATTCCAGAGTGGTCTGAATTTTAAAGAAATGTTTTCATGAATTCCTGAAATTCCAAGGATTTTAAAAGAATTCGTGCAAAAATTCTTCGAAAAATTACTGAAATTTCAAGAATTTTAAAGGAATTCTTTAAAAAATTGCTGCAATTCCAAGGATTTTAAAGGAATTTTTCCAAAAATTCCTGCGATTCCAAGAATTTTTAAGAAATTTTAAGGAATTTCCGGAAAATTGAACCAAATTTTTTAAACAACTAATTCAATTTTTTAACAATTTCTTTTCCAAAAATGAAAAATCCTCAAAAGAAAACATCAATTCCCCAACAACCAAATAGACCAATCAAACCTCAAAACATTTAAATTCCGCGAAAAAAGCCCCCGAACGGTGCCGCCAACTGCTGTCCCCGCGGGGCCCTCGAAACTTTCTCCAATTCTTTCTTGTTTCAGTGCTTCACCGTTAACGAGAAATAAATTAACAGCTGAATAAAACTCAGCACTGACTACGCCCCCGTCGATAAAACGTGCCGACGCATAATTTAACGATAAGAAGCTGAGAATGAGAGTGAGGAATACGGGGAGAAATGGGTACTTACCGGGAGGCGTATGTTGGGCGTGTAAGAGAGATTGTACTCACTCGGAGGCTCAATAACACACCAGTTGTGGAGGCGATCAGATCGCGACGCAGGCTTTAATTTACTCTCGTCACGATTTAATAAGATTCTGAAACAAAAATAGAAGATTGTCAGCATTTTATTCGGCCAAATCCCTTCGAAGAACGAATCTCCAATTTTTCACATTCTCAATAACTAAATTATTGTTCGTAATTTTTCATAGGAACAATTATTTCTTACAACAGGATAATTTTCTGTTTGAAATTCATTCCGATGTTATTAATTCCGAAACTTAATAATTCACAACTGAAATATAACGCTCACACAATGAGAGTAAAAAATATGAATTAATAATTGCCGAGATAGTTTAATCATTTATGACTAAATGTTACGCGAGTATAATACCGAAATTGACGGGCTAATGAATAGATTTTTTTCCCCACATTGTATACAAACGGACAAAACAATAGAGGTTGAGAGCATTGTGTAGGGAAAGAGAGGAGCGAGTGCTGAGAGAACGAAAGATTAACTGGTGTGCAGTAAACCGGCTGATGTTATTTACGCTTTAACACAATATTCGTTGGTATATGCCGGGAAATATTTACAGTATCCAATTATGAATTTTTGAAGACCATTGGTGCGGGTTCATTGAGCTATATTGTTCATATGCACAAAATTCGGACGTATTTCGTGAATATCCTGGAAACATTGAATCAAACAAGATAAAAATAAAGTGATTTTTTGAGGGCTGAAGGGCGAAAAAGCAATTGTCATTCTGTATTTTTGCGTTGATGTGAATTGATGGCTGGACCTGAGTCAGGTATAAACCTGAATCTGAACTGAATTTCTGATTGAACCTCAATCAATGCGTAAATTTAATATAGATCCGAACATCAATTTATGTCGAACCTGAATCCATGACTGAATCTGATTTTGAATTCATTATCAAGTCTGATTTTTCAGAGAATAAATTCACACCTGATCCTGAATTTATGCCTGAATCCGGATTTTTGCCTGCATCTGAATCAATGTGCGAACTTAATCTAAATCAGAACATGAATTTATGTGGAGCCCCAATATCCATCGCACCTGAATTTATGCCTGAATATTGATTCATTGTCGAGACTGAGTTTTATAAAGATGAATTTATGACTGAACCTGAATTTATACCTGAACCTTATTATCAATATGTAAATTTAATTCCGACCTTAACATGAGTTCCTGTTGAATCCGGAGTCACGCCTGAACCTGAATGCCTGAATGCGAATCAATTTTCTAGCCTAATTTTTTCTGAATATGAATCTATAACTGAACCTGAATTTAGACCTAACCCGAATTTTTTCCACGACCTTAAATCATCTGTCTCTGAATATCCGCCTGAACTTTAATCTATACCTGAACATAAATTAATACCTGAACCTGAATTTATCCAGTGGACCTGAATTACACCTAAACCTGAATTTATTTTTGACTCAAATTCATCCCTGACCCTAAATTCAGTTCTCCCAAACCTCAGGGGCAAAACGGTTCGCCTTACTCCATTCAGTCCTGATATTCCCGACCTCTCCAACATGATCATTCTCAATTCCCCTGTCTCTCTGCAGTCACCACTCAAAGATTAATCCACGCATTAAGTAGAAATCTACGTGTGTCGTCAGACACTCAATAATTGATGAGAGCTCCACAGAAGCCGTAATGACATGAAGCCCAATCGCGTCAAGTATACCAGTACGCGTCCTGATATGCACTGTTGACTCGTTAACGTCTACTCGTAATCATCCATCTCTCAATACATTTCTGACTCTCTGGCTCATTGAGGGGTAAATTCGTTTGACGTAACTGTTAGAAACTGTCACTCCCGCATTTACCAGGGGATAAAGGGATTCACTCGGGTGAATTCAACTCGAAATGATTCTTAGTTTCAGTTGCTCGTACCACGTCATTAACGTTTAATTAGCGTTGCAATCTCACACCGACAGATGCCTCATTGTTCGATTCAACAATTTCATGTGATGAAATTCTCTTTTTCAAAAGTTCGTTCTGTTGTAATTTTTGATTTTATTTCAGTTTAATTGCAGGATCGTTAAGGGAGGTTTTTTAGTCATGTCTCCGGGGCACTTGTTATCACTCTTTCTGGTATATTTTTTCATTCATTAGCATTGGTATTCATTCGGTTGAATTCAACGGTGGAAATGAAAAAAAAAATTTTTTTCAATGGAGATGAAAACGAGTGAAAAATGATTGCATTCAATTGTTGGAAAATTTTTCTATTGATTTTGGAGAGAATGAGAAGGGTTGCTTGGCGCTGCTCTGGGGGGGGGAGATACTTGGCGCGTGACCTGACCGCAGTTTCATTGCAAAAAATTATTCCGTACGTTTCGCGAAAATCGCCAAAAACGAACTTCCTTCAAAAATCGCCGTTTTCATGAGAAACACCGGAGAAATTCAGCCTGCGTTCTCCTTTTAGCCAAAAAAAAAACTCATCACCCTGACCTCGAAAACCTCAAGAATTAATCATTCTCGACTGAACCCAGCCCCGGATATTGACGCACGAACGGTAACTGGAATTGACAAACGCCATAGGCACCTCTTGGTGCACCACCCAAAATGATGTATAAAGTTTAAAGGACGTGCACCAACGGTGGATGGAAGCCTGGCTGGAAGCCTCGATAACAATGCACCTATGGCTGAAGGGTGACGTGTGGAGTTACACGGCTCACCGATGTGTAGACCGCAACGGGCTGTTGATCCCATAGCGTTTGGTATTGTCATTGGGCGTAATTATACGAGGTATTTGGGTACAACTACCTCCACCGGCTATATGGAACACGCTGAATTTTCCCGGGGGGGGGGGGGGGGGGGAGAGAACAGGGAGGATGATACCTAGTGGGTTATGGGAACCCCAGACACCTCAATACATATAATTCTCCCTCTTGTATTCAATATCCATGTGGGATTTCGGGGGAATGTTGTTGAATCGATTCAATTCCGTGGCTTATTCTGCACGAAATTTCACTCTCTGTTGGTGGTTACTATTGTGTTACCTCTATTTTTTAAATGGATTCATTGGAAATCCAGAGGAATTAATGGAGCAAGGGTTTTCCGGGGGATTTGGGTATGACAGGGAGTGTTTTTATGAACCAATATTTGATCCTCGAGTGAGCGGTTTGGGGTGAGGGGTTGGCTATTATAGATCACTGAATGGGCTGAAAAATTGTCCATCCAATGAAAAAAACAGTATCTGTTTTGCTCTGTTAGTTCTGAAGTTATTGTGAAAAAACGATTTTTCTAAAGGCGGATTTTCAGGAAAAAAAAAACGGATTTCAAGCGATTTTAAAAGAAATTAGAGGCAAAACGGGTTGGATTTTTTTCATGTAAAAATTGTGTATTCCTCCGTAAAAACGTAAAGGGGAATTCCCCAACGAATGAAAAGAAAAATTTCAATTTTGCGTTATTAGTTCTGATAATATTGGGAATAAACGATTTTTCTAAAGGCGGATTTTCATGAAGAGACATCATCCAACCGCAATGATGGAATTACGAGGGCAAAATGAATGAGATTAGTAATTTTTTGATAGTGAAGACTCCGATCCCCCGAATGGGGTCATTTCCGCCCTCCGTCCTTAATCCCCCTAAAGCCCTGTTTTTATGAAAAGAAGTTTTTGTATCCCCTCAATGCGACAATTTTAAAGTTTTCATCGCTGTATATTCATGAGATGTTACGAATCGTAACTTGAGGATGATTTTTGTCACCTCATTCCACGATACTCAATAATGCAATATCAATAGAAGGCATGAATTCGATAAAGGAAAATGTGCCTCGGGAAAATACAGAAAGTGATATTCCATTGAATTTCAATGCAATTTTTTTTATCAACTTTCCGTGTGTATACGAACAATAGAAAAATATAAAATCGAGATATTGAGATCAGTGAGGTGCGGTGGAGTGTCCATTGTACTATGAAAGTTATTCCTAGGAACAGTTTGCAGCCACCATGGACTTTGCCACTGGAGCCATTGATATTCCCTCAGGCAGAAGTGTCTTGTTTATGGACGAATGGAGCTAAGTGAATTGTTTTATATGCCAGTATTCATCTACAATTTTCTTTTAAAACATTTTCCTCACGGATAGCTCCATAACTGTGAGGAGTAGATCCATGGGACTGGCGTCATTGTGAAGCCAGAAAAATTTCCGATGAAATGAAAAAAAAAATCACCCATTTTGCCCCATCCGTTCTTAGCACAACTCGAAAACAATTTTTGGCTTCGGAGAGTTGCGGTCAAGCCTCGCGCCAAGTTTCTCCTCCATCGCCTGACGTTTACTTATGAGCTAGGGGGCAAAACGGGTTGTTTTTCCCTTCACTTTGATTGGAAATTTTCCTGGCTAGGCAGTGGCACAGATTTTCCTCAACTACCACTGCTCGTCCGATGAGGAAAATCAAATGTAAATTAAATGGACGAGAGAAAAAACATTCAACCGATCTCGTTTTCGTAAGTGCTTCCCCTTCAAGGACTTCCACAACGAAGAATGTCACGTGTACATTGGGTCGATTGCATCCTTGATTCATGTGACTCGTGTGTACCAACGTATTACATTGTTCGCCAAGTATGTAGTACACTCCGGAATGTTACGTGTCTGGGCTTGTTGAAACTATGTTATTATCCAACTATGCAATCGCACCAGCTAGACTCCCTCTGTGCAGCTCCCGTAAACATATGCGTCACGTAACACACTTGACTAATCGGGCATTGCCATTAATTTTTGCACCCTATAAAGTTAAGAAGAGAAATTTCCGTTGAAAATGCGATCAACTGCGGCTAAAGGCCAGTTTTCATGAAACCATTTTTTCGGTTTTATTTTTTTTTTAATACAAGGGCAATATGGATCGTTCTGTTTTTAGTTTGGTGGAGTTATTCGATGCACGGAGCAGGGATTTTTTGAAACTTCTTATTGGTGGCGTGAGGGCGTAAGTTCCTTAAGACTAGTTTTCATGAAAAAATTTTTTCGTCATAACTCGGGAAGTATCCGGGCAAAATGGATTGTTTTTTTCAATTTCGATGGTGAATTTCTTGATCTATCAAGTGGGGTCACATCCGACCCCACTTGAC